CTGAACTGTTCTAACAATCTTGTATGTCTGTGGTGTCATTGATAACTGTCTTTTTCCTTTGCATTAACTTCAGTGTTTTATCATTATTTTTCACTCTTTGGAAATGGTCTCCTGGTCACACAGTACCCAGTTGGCAAGAAAGACTTTTTATTATTTATTCATTCACTGGCTAGGCCAGTATTTATTGCCCAGAGTACAGTTAAGATCAACCTCATTGCTGTGGGTCTGGAGTCCACATGCAGGTCAGACCAGGTGAGGTTGGCAGATGTCCTTCCCTGAAGGATGTCAGTGAGCCAGATGGGTTTTTCCAACAATTGACAATGGTTTCATAGTCATCGGTAGATCCTTAATTTCTGTTTGAGCTTTTATTGAATTCAGGTACCACCATCTGTAGTGGCGAGCCCAGGTCCCCAGAATATTAGCCGAGTTTCTAGATTAATAGTCTAGCGACAATACCACTAGGCTATCGCTTCCTCACTTGCCTTTGACCACCATTGAATGGCAGCACTGGCCAGGTGCTTTTCTAGGTGCTCTTTGTGATCTTTCTACATGCATGCTATGTTGGGCAGCTAGCTGCCATGGGACATGTTTGCCAATCTGATGCTTTCCTTTTGATAGTCTGGTGTTTTTCTTGCTACAGGGTAAGCTCTGGGGAACACCATGGAAGGGCGGTCTCACCCTGTCAGCTCACAGTTAACTTTCATCTCTGTCTAACCTAGCAATCAATTCTTTCCAAGTCTCCAAATCAAATGGCAACACTGTTACTAATAGGACAAAGGGATTTGTATGCCTTCTGGGGTTAGATAATGTAAGGTGACCATAAAAATGTGAATTACGTTGACTCCTGAAGTGCTTTAATATTGTATGTTGATGGTTATAGTGTCTAATTCTGATAAACTTTTGTGGTTAATAGACTAGAAATTCTGGTTGATATCGTATCCAATCCGAGACTAGCCAAATGGTTGGAGACACACCATAAAGTCTGAGTAATTGAATGTGGTAGGTTTGGACAACTGTCACTCTCATATGTCTGCAGAGCCTGGGAGTGTTGCATCCATTACATGGTTCCTATCCTGCTGTTCTACTTCGCCATTCTCTAATCATGTATACAACATATGAAAATGGCAACTTGTGTTTACGTTAAATGTTGCCTATATTAAATATATTTAGTGCCCACCATCAGCTTGCCCCCCGTTCTGAGCCCACCAATTGCTCCCACTTACTGTTTTTTTTTTCTCCTCTCAGGAACTGGCTATAATCCACTTTCCCCTCCTGCTTTTGCTCTTCAGTGAGTAGAGAAAATTGCAATATTAAAATTCCTCATATACAAGGGTGAGGTTGGGAGTCCAGGTATTGTTCAGTCCCAGATCAGCAAACATAAATAGAAAGAAAGATAGGAGCAGGAGTAGGACATTCAATCCTTCGTGCCTGCTCCACCATTTAATCTGATTACGCTTGATCATTAAACACAGTACCATAATTCTGCTCTCCCCGCATGATCCATTTAGCCACAATAGCTGTATCAAACTCCTTGAAAACACAAGGATTTTGTTTTGGCCTCAGCTACTTTCTATGCTAGTGAATTCCACAGACTCACCACTCTCTGGGTGAAAAATTACTTTCATTTCTGTCCTAAAAGATTCACCCCTTATTCTTAACTGTGACCCCTGTTTCTCGCCTCCCCCCCCCCCACCCCACCCCAAACCATGGGGAAAATCCTTCCTGCACCTAACCTGCCTGGTCCCGTTAGAATTTTATAGGTTTCTATGATGGTCCCTCCACCCCGATCTCGTTCTTCTAAACTCCAGTGAATACAATACAAACATTATTTGTGAACTTCTCAATTTAAAATAAAACCAAGAATTTCAAGGAAGGAGAGTGCTACTCAAAATAGCAGGAAGTCCTATGCACCTGTTGTACCACAGGAGGATCGCTGGATGTGGAGCCATTATCAGGTATTGCCCACTGCCAATAGAACAAAAACAGAATAAAATAAAACCACTTCCATTAAGATATGGTTCAGACTTGGCTCTAACAGGATTTTGATTACCGAGACTTGCATTTTCTTGGATAAATCCTAATCACAGCTTGTAGCTGTATGAGGGAGGCCATTCATCACATTGTGACATGTTCTCAAAAAAATCTGCATCATCCCAAAATTGAATGCTTCTAATATGATTGACATATTGATGCTATTACCCTCCTTGGATCACCTTCCTTAAGCTGATCATTCAGTAAATAACCTCCAGACAGCAGTGTTTAATTTGGCTTTGGGCAGAGCTTTGTGTTGAGGCCTCACCATGTTCCAGGCTGCTATGTATTTTACCATGGGCTGTCAGGTGTAAATATGGAAGAATGACATTGACAATAATCTATGGCATAATGTAGAGACAGAGCTTTACTCTGTATCTAACCCCATACTGTTCCTTGCTCAGTGTGTTTGATGGGGACAGTACAGCTTTACTCCAAATCAAACTCCTGGCCTGCTGTATCTGCCCTGGGAAGTTACTGAGGCCAAGGAACACTTGATGCAGATACTAAGCTCAAGGCAGGATGGTATTGTTTCCCCCAAACTTCCAATTCATTCAAAGAACAATCCTTGTCTAGCCTAGTTGCAAGCAGTTCTATTTGTACAGGTAAGTCTTGTATGAATTAACCTGATAAAATGCAGCTACATTACATTGTCTTGTTAATGAAAGACTGGTACCAGAGGCAGATATATTTGTGTTGGTCACATTGATTGTAATATTGGTAAGCATTAAAGTTTGATTTTCACAGTAAATGCCCTACTATCAAAGTATACCTAGATTTTGAGATAGAAGCCCCAAATCTGGTACCAGGCTATCACTGCTTTACTGTTGTTGTTAATGTTAATATTTTACAGGCTTGTCTTGTTGCTGGTTTTTGTTATTTGAGTTCTATGTATTTTACATTTTGTTTTGGTTGAGTGCTTACCTTCCCATCTGGGATTTGTGGTGGTGGTGTGTCTGAGTGGCAGGTGGTGATTCCAGATCCTCCTCTATCTGCAATAACCTAGGCAGTGGAGTTGCTTGGTGTGATTATCAAAACAAGTGAATGGACTTCAGTGAAATTAAATTGTAATGTTACAGCCTGAAAAAAGCATCATTTCCATTATTTTTCCAAGTATTAGAAAATACAACTTGGAAATCTTAACGACATTGAAAGGTATGTCTGCTATTTTGAGTATGTTCCAGGCTGTTTTGCTTGTTATAGTCCTGTCATACTGAGGTTTAGAAAGATAAGCCATCACTGCAGTGATGTTCTGCCTCCTTGCTGCAGGGTGTGGGTGAAACCACAACCAGCATCCCTCCACATGAAGTCTTTTACCACCTAGTCTGCTAATAGTGGTCATGAAGAATGTCCCAAGCCTATTTGTGCCATCTCCCTACTGAAAAAGAGTAGAGTTGGGCAAGAGGTGGAAGACATAAAAAGCAATTCCGGTTCTGTGTGGAATACAGAAGCACTATGCGATCATCTCAGTCTCTGCCACAACAAATCAAATGGGTAGTAGCAGAACAATGAAACTTCCTATACCATGATAGATTGGATAGTCTGACATTGCCATCTTTTGGCAATGCCTGATGTAAGTTTTCTACATACAGTTAACTCAGCTACACACCAAGCAACTGCAGATCTGCCTTAGGCTTATCCTGGAGCAGCCTCTTCACCCACAGTGAGGAACAACTCTGCTTGCACAGCTGTTCTTACACAAGTCATATCCTTAACTTTGAAGCTGCCTATCTTCTTACTCTGCTAACCCTGGTATAATGTTTGCACTCCTACATTCTAGTAATTGAAGGAAACGCAAGCTTTCAATCAGAAAGTGACCTCTGACTGCAAATAGAAAGGATTGAGTCTCCAAGCTACTGACACTTTCCTTTGACATTTGTAGTTTTGATCTGTAGCACCATTTTATTACTCATTCCTGACATTATCTTCTTTGTTTCATGATGAGTTCTCTAATGCGAGGCTTGGATCTTTTATGGGCAGCTGTTGGAAATGGGAATCTGCTGTATATATTTTCTGTTAGACTTCTTTCTTGAGTAGTAAACACCAAATGCTAAGCTTGTTCTATCCTGCAGCACCGTAACCTATCAGTGAAGAAGCTCAGTTGCCCTTTAGACACGCAATATTCTGTTAGTCCAGAGGAGTTTCTTTTCTGGATATTGAATTCAAACATATCTCGATTACATTTATTGCACACTGGCAGGTGAAGTTGCTGCAAGTAAACTATGCTGTTTTCCACAACTTTATATAAATTCTATATTCAAAATGGATTCTTCTAATATGTGAGTTCTAAGAGTTTTATATTGTGCAAAAAATGCCTATTTACATCCAAGACTCAAATATACTAGGCAATAACCTGGTCTTTAATGTCATAATGTCAGCCATGGTTCGCTGGGCAGCATTCTCAAATTCCGAGTTCAGCTCATGGTTGTAAGCCTCCCTCAAGACAGAAGGAGTGCTGCACTCTCAATGCTGCAACCCTTTCGGGTAGAAGGTTAAAGTGAGGCCTCGAATAGTGGAAGAGAGCGCACAGCTTGCAGTTCTCTTGGTGACCTGACAGATATTCATCTATCGACCAGAATCACCATCACATTATCTAATTATCAGATTATCTAGTCAGTTATCTCATTACTGTTTGTGGGATCTTGCTCAGTGCAAAATAGTTGCTAAATTTTCCTACAGTAGAGGCACTATAATTTAGAATTATTAATTAAATTATTTTGAAACATTCCATAACACACTGTATTTATCAACGTTTATTTTTGAAGTTAGATGTCTGCCCAAAACTCTTCATGCTCACATATTAAAAGATGACAATCCCTTTTTACTTACTGCCATTCTGAAGAAATCCTAAACTTAACCCTATGCTAAACACTAGCACTTATTTAACCCAGACTAGTCTGTGACCTTTACTGCTGAATGCTTCCCTTGTAAAAGGAATGTACTTCCCCCAACCCTCTGCATGCTTGTAGGTTAAAAATGAAGTGGATAAACTCCCCAGAGAACAGAGAAAAGAACAAATGAAACGAATTCGAGAGGAGCTTTCGCAGTCCTTGCATGTTCAGGTAATTAGCAGCTGATGTTACTCATCAACTCTACCACTTTCCTTTACTGACAAAAGCTTGTCTGCCTGAATAGATGTATCATCTGAAGCCAAGACGAGCTAAACTAATACGTCACTCTACAACATTCTGTCACTCCAGGTTCACTTGTGTAATATTTGAATGTAGTTACATGCAACTACTGAATTCTGTTCTGTGGTGAGTTACATGACCATAACCAGTTGATGGTCAAGGATGCTACAGTTGATACCTGCATCCTTCCTTTGCTTGGAAACAGAGTTCCTACTATTGGTCACTTTGTAGAAAAGTTGTATGTTTATGAGCATTTAATGAAGGAGGGAGCAGACTTAGCTGAGATGCCATTCTGTTGTTATTCTGTGCTTGTCCATGAAAAATATCCACTTCATTTAGGCCCTGGAGGGTACTGGGTTTTCGAGGGACTTGTATTAACCAGTAACCAACTCCAAGAGATGAGGTAGGATGTTGTGTTATGTTTAGGAAAAAGTACCAAATGCTCAGTATTCTGAAACCAGGACTACTGAGTTCACATTTCAGTGAAACTGTCAGGGCAATACCAGAGTGTCATTGAAAGTCTGACCTGGCAAAAAAAAGTGTGATTAAAAAATAGTGGAATCTCCATCATTATTTTCCAACTCCACAACTTAATCCAATTTAATTGTTGGCAGCAAATGATAGATTTAATTTCCAGCTTGTGATTGAAAGTATGGATATCTTAATATTAATATAACCAGTGCACAGTAAATTTACCACCTTACTTTTGCTGAAACTTTACACTCAATCACATATCAAATTAACTGAGAAATGAATTTTTTAACAGCATTGTGTCTTTTTGTTTACTTACACCTATGGTCATCCCTTGAATTCTGTGGTGAACCACCTCGTTAATCTCTTGCATCCATAGGATGTAGCTGCATTCACAATGTAATGTAGAAGAGAGTTCCAGGATTTTGGCCGTACAACAGTAAAGGAACAGCAGTTCTGAATCAGGTGGTGTGTGACATGGAGGGAAATTGACAGATGATGGTGCTCCCATGCATCTGCAGCTCTTGTTTGTAGAGGTTGAGGCTTTAAAAAGTGCTGTCAAAGAAGCCTTGATGAATTACTACAGTATGTCTTGTAGATTGTACTAACTGCTGCCATGGTGGTGGGGGTGAGTGTTTAAAATGATGGATAAGGTACTGATCAAAGTGTACTGCTGTATTCTGAATGGTTTCTGGCTTTTTTGCTGCTGTTGGAACTGCAGACATCCAAGCAATCGGAGAGTATTCCATCATAATCTTGACTTGTGCCTTCTGGATGGTAGATGTGCTTTAGGGAACCTTAGAAGTGAGTTACTGCAGAATTCTCAGTTTTTGGCCTGCATTTATAGTCATAGTATTTGTTACTGGTCCAGTTAAGTTTCTAGCTATGATAATCGCAAGATGTTGGTTAGAAGGGGTTAGGGGTAAAAATCAGCAATAGTAATGCTGTTAACTGTCAAGGGGAGATGGTTAGATTCTCTCCTGTTGGAGATGGTAATGTTCCTGGACTGATGCAAATCTTATTTGCCACTTACCAGCCCCTTATTGGATATCTGGGTCTTGTGAAACATTGGCACTGTTTCACTAGCTGAAATATCATTGGTGCTGGATATTACCACTTCTGACCTTATGAAGGAGGTTAAGATTATTGATAGAGCAACTGGGATGATTTGGCCTAGGATAATAGCTTGACAGTAGAAAGATATGCTGAAAGTCTGTGATAAGCTGAGGGAGGAACTTACGTAGCATATAAACACCGGTTCAAATTAATTGGGTTGAATGACCTATTTCTGTGCTATGTGTTCTCCGTAATTAGTCCCATAACCCTGATTTAAGGTCTACACGCTATTTATTTGGGAATATAAACCAGAAAATGGAAGTTTAGATTTTCTTTTCACAGTGAAACTGTGTTGTCACTTAATGCTTTCTCAGCATATCATTTTGAAAGAAGCAGGATTTTGATTTTTTTTGTTTGGACATGCCGACATCAGGCATGTTGTGGAGGGTGGGGGAGGGAAGAAAATCATTGCCCAGTAATGGAGTTTGAATTGGATGCAAGTGGCAGTTTGTCACTGAACTGAGAGAAGACGTTAGGACTCGGACCTGCAAAAAGCCTGCAGTAAGTGATATTGCACTGTTTTTATTTGAAAAATAAATAACATTAAAAGATTTGCAAAAAACAAAGCAACCGTCTAATACAAGCCAAGAGCTAGGTCCAACTGACCAGCCTATGATTTGAGGATCACCACAGCCTATAATAACGTGATGTCATCACCAAAAGGCCAAAAAAAACGTCATTTTTCCTTATGGATTGGACTGAGCCACTGACTTTGTGCCTTTTTGTGTATATGTTTTCAATTTTTGATATTCGTAGAAAGATTGTTTGTCGTCTTTATCTTGACTAATCTGTGTGGGTTTGGATTTAAATGGTGGGTTTTAAGTTTCCATATGAAGTTATTATAAAGAATGTTTTTTTAAATTTTCTCGTTGATTGATGAAACCTGGTGTGAGTTTTTTTCTCTTTTGATAACAGTCACAGTTAGCCACCCTTGAGATTAAATTTGTCATATTTCACACTTGTAATGACTGGTGAAATGGTGGGGCTTGATTTCCAGTGGACTGTTCTGCCCAGAGTTGTGGCACAATCGAGGACTCTGGGATCTTTGAACGTGCCCATGGTGAGATTAGACAAGGAAAAAATACCAGATATCTGGTTTTACTGTAAAAGTAGATGGCATTGGAAGCAGCTAAAACTATCCTGTAGACGGAGTAAATAGATGTGGTTTATGAGATTTAACAAATGATAAAGCCGTAGAATTGACAAAGGAGTTAAAGGTAGCATTTCCTGCAAAATCTAAGAAGGAGGAGCTAATTAAAATACTTGCATTGCATTTGGGATTTGTGGAAACACCAGAGAGACCAGGTGCTCCAAGCAGTGAGTCATTGGAGGCAGTTATGATTGGGTTTCATGTTCAAGCTGCTTTACCCTCAAGAGAAATGATGCGGCAAGAGGTAGAAAAATATAACATGGGAATAGCAAAGCATAAAGGTTAGAAGACTTGAACTTCAGAGAGAAGAGAAGGATAAAGAATGAATTTGAAAAGCTGGAAACTGAATTACAAAGGGAAAGAGAAGAGAGGCAAGAAAGAGAGAGAATTCTGACTTAAAAAGCTGCACTTCAAAGAAAATAGCCTCAGATGTAGGAGGGGATTCTGATGAAGAAAGCCTAAGCCATAGTCTAAAGAACAGTAAGGAAATGCCTAAATTTTTACAGGCCCAACTGAAATTTGAGGAAAAGGACATGGGTTTTTTTTCATCCTGTTTGAAAAGGAAGCAAAACAAATTAAATGGTTGAAGGAAAAATGGACTTTGCAGAAACAAAGCAAGTTGACAGTTAAACAAGTTAAATTTACATATCGCTGTCAGAGTTTCTAGGAATTATGTAAAAATTGCTATTCTGCGCACATGAGAGTTAGTTCCTGGAGCATACAGGCAAAAGTCTGAATACTTAATGAAGCAGGCTGGGTAAACCTACATTAACTTTGAAAGGGTAAAGCAAAGTAATTTTGACCAGTAGATTCAATACACATGAAGCTGTCAGAGTAGAATTTTAGAAGAATTTAAAAACTCACTAACTTCAGTAATTAGAACTCATATTGAAGATCAGAGTATAGCAACTGTGAGACAGGCAGCAGCTGTCACTGATGATCCTGAGCTGATCCATAAACATTTATTTTTCCCATTACTCCATAAATCCAAGAAAGCTTGAAGGTGGGAGAATTAAATGAAGTCAAGCCAAGGTAGAGCAGAAACAGCAGGAATGCCCCAAGATCTCCTCCTCCAGATCAGAAAGGAAGGTGGACTTGAGAGCTATAAGCCATAAGTGTTTTCATTGTCAGAAATTGGAACACGTTTTGTTCAGAATGTTATATGTTGTGCAAGAACCTGTTAGGGCTTACTGGGGTTTGTAAGATTGAATTTGGAAAAAGGAATTCACAAGGAAATACTATGGATCATTTTTTAAAAAATTTAACTACAGCTATGAAACTAAAAGTAAACACTGGTCAGAGTGAAGGAAAGGTGAATTGAGGTAGATGAGAGAGATAAAGAAGTTTTCACAAAAGGAATATGATAGAACTGAACCTATAACTATATGAAGCAATTCAGGAACTACGTAAACTCTTCTGTTGGAGAAGGACCCAGTTTTTCCTCTGGAGAGGGCATTGAAAGCCAAAGCTTTAATAAATGGGAAAAGTGGAGAATACAAATCGTTCCGTGGTACAAAGTGCACTTAGAATGTCACTTGATATCTGAAACAATGTAGTAAAAGCCATTATCCATGGACAGAGTTGGCTTAATCTTATGGAATGACTTGGCTAGAGTGAACATAATTGTGGAAGTCTATAATTATGGGAAGTCTGACTGATGTTGAAGAGACAGAACAGATACAGGAACATGTTTCAGGTATTTTTCCATCATGTGGTGACCAGAAGAGTGGCTAAACAAAGTCTGCCACCAGAAGTAAAAGTAATACCACAAGCACATGTCAGAGTAGCTGCTACTTTCTTTTGTTGATGGTGGTAATTCAAAGGAAGTGCTTAATATAAAGGAAGTGTCCTTAATTGAGACTCAGAAACAGATCTAGATTTTCAAAAGTTAATACAGTCAGCTCATACTAAAATTGAGGCTGAAGGAGTTCTGGTGTGTTACTATTGTTAAAAATTGAGTTCTGATGAGGTAGTGGAGACATCCTTATTGACCTGTAGACAAGGAATGGGTGGTTGTTGATCACATAGTGATACTACCCACATATTGAGTGTCATGTGAAATTCCTTTGGCAGGTCATGTATGAATGTAGAAAACTCCTGCATTGACAAACAGGCATTTTACTTTTCCAAAACTTAATAAGGATGTATTATATTTCTGTAAAATATTCTATGCATGTTGAGTAGTTGGAAAACT